AATATGAAGACACGCTTTTAAATAGAAGCACTACCAATCCTCCAGATTGAAAGATTATATAGCCACATTGAGTAAAAAATAACATTCTAATCACAGGTTGTGAGATAACAACTGAACAAGAGTTACACAGTCTCCATGTAATACATTAGGGATTCCTTTGTTGAACAAAATGAAGCAATTGAATGTAAAAGTGGCATTCTGGAGAAGTTCTCAAAGTAGGAAGGACAACCGAATATTTTAATTTGCTCCCTCATGGCCTCACCAATTTCTTAAAGACGGTCACTTCTTCGCACAAACTTTGAGATTGCCATGGGTTCATAATACAGAAATAGAAGTTAACCTAACGGTTCCACAGGTTACTTGGACTTCAGCAAATTTTAAGAGAATCAGGAAAAAAACAAAAAAAGAATCATTTTTAATTTCATATGTATGATTCATGTTTGTACAAGTCATGAAACAATACAAGTCAAGCCAATAGATTGTTCATAAACATAAGGCAAACTTAATTCAACTAGAACTAGAACAGAAATGTTGGGATCATGGGTTACATTACATATCAGGCTACTCAAAACAATTGTTCTAATTTGTTCGCAAACTACGTCAAATGTTCTCACAAATATTGCTGCAGACCACATTAAAACTCAAAAGTTCACTTGGTTCTTGCAAGAAATTAATACATTAACCCGATCTTTATTGCTTTAAGCAATCAACACCAATAAAAACAAAAAGCTCCCTTTTTACTTAAAAGTTAACTTGGTTCTAGCAGGCAGTTGTTAATACATTAACAAGTGAGGCCACCTGAATAATCAAGGCTCAAGCAATTCATCACCATCGATAGAGTGCAATTTGCTTATTCAAACTAAGAACCCACTAACAAAATCAAATCTTTATTGCTCTAAGCAACACTGTCAAATCTTTATTGCTATCATGAATTCGAAATTCTCACCAAACCCCAAACCCCATTGCGCGTGTAAATGGAAAGGACCCCAAAAAAGGAAGAAAACAAGAAAAGAAAAAATAAGCTACCAAAGGGCTGAAAGTACAAATAACAACAAACATTAAGAAAAAAAGCAAGAAATACCTGGTAAAAATTTAATCCCAACAAAGCAAGGTTCACCATTGCGAAAACTATCCAGAGTACAGGTTCCCATGCCATTTTACTGCCTAAACAATATGGCACAATTCACACAACACACACACACACACACACTCGCAGAGCTCTTTGGATCCTCGATTGAGGGAGAAAGATAAAACGATTATCAGAGACCGAAAAGAAGAATTGTGAAGTGGGGGGGCAAAAGGTGGACTGCGCTTTTGAGTTGTTTGTCACTGATCTATACGTATATAAACCAAAAATAGTGAAAAAAAAAAAAAAGTTTTATTACATTCTATTTTTGATACTTTTTTTAATTTTCTTTTAAATTATTTTCAAACAATCGATCATCTATATATGCACCATAAATTCATAGATTTTGCGGATTTAATTTAGGTAAATTTTGATTGCTGCTTACAATTTTACAAAAGTCAAAATTATTTCTTATTTTTTACTAAAAAAACGATTACCATAAAATCGAGAATTTCGAATTAAGTTTATTATAAAAAAACCGGATTGCATAGAAATAGGGTTAATTTAGGTCAAATTCCATGACAATTTTGTAAAAGTTAAAATTTTCTTTTTTTTTTATTAAAAAAAAATTGTTTACCATAAAATCAAGAATTTCAAATTAGACAAACTACTGTAACATGCGTCTTTACCTAATTGCAATAGATCATGTTTACTAAAATAGAAACATTAGATTGCATAGAAACCGGACCCAATTTCAAATTGAAAATTAAATTTTAAAATCCTTTATCATTTTAGCACTACTTTCTTTAGTTCGGATCTTTTTTAAATATAAAACAGAGTAAGATAATATTAATTTTAAATTAGAACATCCTAAAAATTTTGGTTTTGTTTAATCCTCTAGAAACAAGTTTAAAATTGATTGCATATACTTATACAATTTTTTCAATCCTTAAAATTACAATTTTAAAATAAGAAGGCTAAAGATTATTAAGAAATGACGTTTTACACTATCCGTTATATTTGGTCATTCAATCTTCATACAAATCAGTATAAATCATACTATATAAATTCTGGTAAATAATTTAATTGGTTTATCTAAGCATCTGGATTCCTAATATAATTTGTAGCGATAGACGATGTATCAAAAGACTAAACAAATAATGTTGTGTAAAAGATGTGTTTAATAATATATAAGTTACATTTTATTTTATTTCAACACATGCGCTTTACGTTATTCTAATAATCTAATTATCCAAATCCAAATGCTTACTTTAATAAAACTAGCGCGTGCATCGTACGGGTCCCACACTAGTTATCAATGATGATGGGGGAGCAAGTTTTTTTCTGTAAACATAGTTTCAGGGGCGAATCTAGCTAATAGAATGAGTGGGGGCCTAATCGTTACTGAAAAAAAAAAAAATATATACTGTAATAAAAGTATAAATACAAAAACACACATTTATAATATAGTTATGAGTTTTCATATATAGCTCAACATCATCCTATAATAACATCGTTGAATTTTTTTATCGCACATTCTTTTTGCCAAAGCCTAACAATATTAAAATTCGCCTTCAGATATATTTGGAACTAAAGTATCTCAGTTTAAAATATTTTAATGTGAACTTTTCTTTTCAAGACATACTTCAAAATTATTTCTCCATAATTAATGTAAAAGTTGAATAAATTATAATATTTAAAAGACCATAATGTATAAAATGATGTACTAATATATAAAACATTAAGAGCCTACAATCTATTACTATATAATATGGCTAAGAAAAAATGTTTGAAAAACTAAAAAATAATTGTTTCATTTTCCCGCTTCAAATTTATTTCCTTTAAGATTTTTTACTTTTTCCTGCCCATGCAATTAGTTTGAAATATTTTTTCCATGCAATTTTTTTGAATGGAATTGTTTGTTCAGATTTTGTGGGATTCCTTTATCTTAAATTTCATATAATGACAATCTTCATTAGCTTTAGAAAAAGTGAAAAAAAAAATCATTTTGTCTCTTTTTTTTTTTCTTCAGGTTAACATCGTTCCGGATCGTGACCGCATTGTGGTGCTCCATGTATGACCGTCTTCACATGCAAATAATGTTTGTAATTGTTGTTGTTATATATTTCGATAGATTATATATTTGTTTTATTTTAATATGTAAATAGATCATTTAGATACTATTATATATTCTATAAACTAATTGATTCAATAATATTTTCTTATACTATTATTTCCATGTGTTTTGTATATGACCGTCCATGTTGCTACATTTTATATTCTTATTTACGTAATTTATTTATATATTATTAAACAATTAACATTTTAATTGTAAACACAAAATAAACTTATACTCTTTTAGCATAATATATTTAAGCATATATAAATATTTTTATATTATATACTCACATCCTTAAGAATTTAAAATTAAATTTATTATATTTTTCATATCTATTACTATATAATAGGAATAAAGAAAAACCTAAAAAAAAAACATATAAAGATTCCTACTCATATTTTTTATTTTTACTGCTAACGGAATTGTTTTTTGAATTTTTTATGTTTCTCCCGCCCATGATTTTTTTGAATTATTTAGAATTTTTGAAACGAATATCAATTATTTTTCTAATAGATATACATTCCATCTTATCTTGATGTCATTTATCTCAATTCTATCCCTGTTTTTTTTTAATTTGTTTCTTTTTTTGTGGGTATTGTTTTGATTTGATTTTAATATCCTTAACTAGTATGTAACCCGTGCGATGCACGGGCTGTATTTACTTTGCAAAATATTTAAAATTAAAATGTATTAATAAATAAAAGAGTGATAATTCATAGAAAAATTATCAAACCATAATCTGTTCCTCATGCAAAATAATATATTATTTAAACTTTCTTGTACACAACATTATTTGTTCAATAACTGAGCAACTCGTCGTGCCCACAAACTAATATTTTCAACACTTTTCTATTACTTACACACGAAACAAACAACATAATTGTCCGTGACTAAAAATCGATTTCTTTAAGAACATGCCAACGTACAATAAATGTTGACCTTGACTCTTCTTGATCTATTACTTAACATGCCAACGTACAATAAATATTGACCCTTCTTGACCTATTACTTACACGCGTAACAATATACAATTGGTCGTGATCAAAAAAAGATTTTTTTAAGAACATGTCAATGCACATCTCTTATCTACTACTTACACGTAAAAACAACAACATATAATCGGTCGTTGCTAAGAACCGATTTCTTTTATGTCAACGCACATAAAGGCTGACCCTTATTTTAAATGAAACCCTAAGATGTAACTGGTGCTCTAGAACTTAAATGAAATCCTAAGATGAAACTTTTTATAATATGATAATTTACTTAGGCAGTCAGACAGTGAGCTGTTAGTTTAATATCGATTATACTTGATTAGCTATATAATATTCACTAATATTTCTATATTTTTTATACAAAAAGACTGACCATGACTGTTAAATGGAACCCCAAAATCAGAAAGAACTGGTGCAGCTGAAATTTAAATGGAAGTCTAAAATGAATCTATTTATAATATGATAATTTATACAACAATTGGACAAATGAATTGGTGTATATCTACAAAATATATATGAATAATACAAAACATTAAATATTACATCACACTAATTTTATGAGAGATATTATATATATTAGATATAAAATATAAAACATTTATGAGAGATATTATATATATTAGATATAAAATATAAAACATTAGTGATTAGATATTACTTCAGGCTAATTTTTTCAAACCAAACAATTTTTAATTGAATGTGTGACAATTTATATATTTTCAAACTGAGCAATTTTTAATTGGACAGTTTTCCTATTATATGTGTGACAACTTTTTAGGTAGTAAATTTATATATAATATATGTATTGATGTAAAAAGTTAACAACCTCAATAACATGGTTAATATTTCATAATGCGACTGTTTAGACGTAGGACAATTTGAAAAGATAATTTTGTTACCATAAAAGTTGCAAAAAAATATTTTTGTATGGGATACCCAGAAATTTCTACATGATTTGGAATTATTTGTTACCCAATAACATCTTATAGAATCATTTTAAAACGTGTATATATATTGTATAATCGTTTTATTTGTTACCCAATAACATCTTATAGAATCATTTTAAAACGTGTATATATATATTGTATAATCGTTTTATTTTTTATAATTTATACTTGGGATTTGTTCGTTTGTATTGATGACATACTACGTATAAATTTTTTTGCATTAAATCAGGAACCATATAAAACTTGTAGAATATCTTACTAAATAACAAATTAATATTTATGGTATATATATATTTGGGTTCATTTAAATTAAATCTATATTGTATTCAACACGAATATATATAGATTCCAGAATATTCAACACGATTATATGTTATTCCAAAAACAAAATATACATTTTTACCATTTTTGGGGCCTCGGAATTTGATATTGTAGATGTGTAAATTTGTAATTTTGCACAAAAAATATATTTTTATCCAAAAATATTTTGTATTTTACCCAACAAAAAATATCTATTTACCCAAAAAAAAATATTTAGAGACGTTTTATAAGTTTGTATTTATCTTGTAGATTTGTAATTATTTTGTACAATCTATAAACTATTTTTGAAAATTATTCAAGCATGCAATGATTAAAAATTGTTCAAGCATTATAAAAAAGGTGATTAAAAATTGTTCAAGCATGCAATGATTTAATGGAATAAAATTATAAAATAAAATAAATTCAGTAATATGAAATTGTACAATATTAGAATTTGAAAGCACACAAATAAAAAAAATGAACAACAAAACGGAAAATAAATCATGTAGAACAAATAAAACAAATAAAAAAAATAAAAGAATTGTATGTAAGTACAAAATCGAAGGAGAAGTCTACTAATTAAAATTTATTCACGATAAAATGTAGTACACATCCATTTCACAATAAATATGACCAAATCATCAAATTTATATATAATAAAAACCTAAGAAATCCAGGCGACAACCATATCTCGATCATTGCTAGTATTGAGGAAAATTCCCATTGTATTTG